CTACTAAATTTTAATTTATTCGAAATTGATAAACGCTTCGTTTCGACATTTTAAGTTCGTTGGCGCTCCTTTGGCTGCCGATTTCGACGCAGACGGCTTGATAGAATTGCTTGTGCCAATTTGTCGAAAGGAAGATTGCAAGCAGGTATCTTTGTTTTCACCTCCTCTGTTCGTAAAGCTCCAAATAGTTTTTTTTTCTAGGTGACGGAATTTGCTAACTGGCAGTATAATCGCGGATGGAGCACGAACGCGTTCGATTTGCAGGTAAATATCTATGCATCTGAGTGTTCATATTTGAATTGACGGAGGATAGCCGAGTTCCCTGTTTTCGTAGTCGAAATCAGATTATATGCATCGGCACCTTCTCCGTTCTACAAAGACACTTTCCAGTCATGTTGATTTGAGCTGGGAGTCGGGTATGTCAGGAAAAGAGGGGCCCCACTTCGAGGAATTTAATGTAAAATTCTCACAGAGGGTAATTTCCGAGAAAAGGCAGAACATAGGTTAGATAGCAAAAATGCTTCACTTTTCAGAAATCTAGAGTCCAATGTGATGAGTAGCATTTCTTACAGTAGTGCTTTGCGATTTTGTGCAATTACAAAACATGATACAAACTATCTGGTACTATATGTGAGTGTGCTTGTTATCAGAATTTCAACATCTTATCGGATGAGGACTCCTTGATGCTTTTCCGAGTTGGAGACTTCTCACTCGATGGCTACCCGGATCTTGTGGCAACTTTGGTTGAAAAACAGAGCCTTGGTCAGATCAAGGCAAGTATTTTAGTGTACTTTGATTTCGCTTTGCCAAATACTGGCACATTTTTCATCCTCCTCTTTCACGGTGTCATTCCAGGTCATTGATAATATTTTGTGCACAAATTGCGACCGTAATGGAACGAGGTACGCAAACAAAATCAATAGCGCGGAGTTAGAGTGAGACAATTGAGAGTTTTCAGGAGGTTCGAGATAAACAAGAGTATCTTCATCCAACCGAAGGAAGTAGCTTTGGGAGAAATCAAGATGGCATCATTCTTCGATCTGAAGGTAAGTTGCAGTTTTGGTGTTTGCGAAAAAGCTATTTGATCAGAAAATAAGAGCCACCTGCAGAAAAAGATAGGAAACAATAAATAATTATAATAAAATAATAATAAAATAGGAAATAAAAAAATTATTCAAAAGTGCAGCGGTAAGAATTGTTTCTATTTTAGAATTTTCCTTCTCCCACTATGCCAGAATTTTAGGTCTATTTCAAATGACTTTAGGGAGAAAAGTCTGTCAAGAGTTTTTTTTTTGAAATTAATCATGGGTAGAGGTGGGAGTGAGTCAATTTTATGTTTGTAAGCAAACTTATCGAATGAAGGCTTTGCCCATTTCATTCGATCTCTCAGTAAAGCCTTCAAATCGAGCTGTTTGCAGATCTCTTTTCGTCTATTTGTATTCAGGGGAATAGGACGTTAGAGACTTTATTTCTTTTCACACGCTGTAACGCGTTTCAATCCAAAACATCCAACTCCGAAATTGGGCTATTTCTGACGTCACTGCGTAATGTCATGCATGAAACTAGCTTTACAGCTTAGAAATGCATGCATATTTTTTATATCCTCAGATTTAAAACTTTAAAAGTCAAACTTATTGGGAATCCTTATATCGTCTTTCTTTCACTTTATGGCATAAATACCTTTCTTTTGCTTTAGGAGGATGGAAACTTGGATATCCTAATTGAATACAAGCCATTTGAAGGAGATACGAAGTTCAGGTTAGTTTTAGTGGGCGAAGTATGCTTCGATAATCCGTTTGTCACATAAGCACTAGTTCTCTTTGGTTCCTACATATTACCTTTCCTTTCAGCTTCATCCCTTGTGACGACAAGGGCGATGTCACGTTTCTCAAGGTCACGGTGTTCACAAACGTTTGCGGTAAGCACTGCAAACCGTCACCAAAAGAACTGGGTTTGTTCCTACTGCTGCTTTCAGATTCTCTTTGCATTCTTGTCACAATTTTTTGTGTGCCTATTCATATTGAAAAGTTTTCATTCATGTTAGTAATTAGAGAGTTGCAGGCTCTGGTGTCAGCTGGGGCGGGGCTTGTGCAAGCTTCAGCATGTCTGATGGATGGGGTGGATCATTGAAAAGTTCGGCATGTCAAATTCCTGCTGGAACGCATCGTGCGCTGGCGCCGCCTTATGTTCTATTCGGTCTTGGCAGAAGTCCTAACTTCGTAGATGAGGTTCGTTCGTTTCTTTCTTTTCCAGTATTGATTGTAAACAGCCTCCTTTGTCAGCTTACTATTGGTGCGCCGCTCTACAATGAGGCCTTGAACGCTCGGCAGCACACGCTGAAGCAGATAGTACCGAACTCGAGGATTGTTGTTATACCTCCGGCCGAAGGCGGCTCACAGTGGCTCACGCGACTGTATGTCACCCCATCACAGCTCATTCTTCAGGTTTGTTCAACTTTTTACTGCCATTATTCAAGGAGGTGACTAGGATAAAGCGTGTGCGCTTCTCGAATAGAAGCAAGACTATCAAGGAAGCGAGTTGTAGCGCTGCCTGTCCCGCGGGCGGCTGTTTCTCGCTCTGCTCCTGTCTGCCATATGTTTATGTGGAGTTGCTATAACTTAACCTATCACTTATATTGACTGTGAACTACTGCGTACAGTGGCACAAGACAAGGGTCAAGAACGAAATGTCTTCCCTAACCAGGTCAACAGGTCATTTCTTTCGCTTTGTTGAAATTTTGTGAACAATAGATGGTTTGAGGTCGCCTTCACTTGATTGCCTTGCATTGTAATCTAC